TTGGTATTAATCACTTCTTGCCAGGGTATAAAAAGAGCGGCAATGAGGTTTAATCTAGTGGAAAAGGACCTTGACTTGCACACCAGTGATTTCAAGTTCGAATCCCCATGACACCTTAATAGTGTGTGTGTATATGTGTGTGTGTGTGTGTGTGAAACTCTCTTCCTGATGTAGCACAAAAGCGTAAACTAGAGGAAAATCCATGTTTTCAACTAGGAAGTGTACCTTGAATCCACAAGGAGAGAAAAACACACTCTCAATAAGAGGTGTTTAGTTTATATTGAAGTTGAAAATTGGAATATTCGATTAAAAGTACAAGCCACCTTTAATATAGCTATAGATGATGCACGATCCATATGCAAGTGCATACATGAACTAAAGTATTCATGAATAGTTATTAATGAAATGCATGAATCTAACATTAAACATGTATTTAATTTATTTATTAAGTAAATGAACCTAGAGTAACTGTTCATTGAACTTTGCTTCTTTCTTATGGCAGCTACAAACGGGCTGGGTTGCCGTAAATGGCAGATGGATGAAATTGTCCCCTTTGTCTGAGTTCGAAAATCAAGCCCCAAAAATGCTTCGAAAGGGCAGTAAAGCCTTATGAAGTATCTTGGTTATCTTCACCAACCAAAATAACAGCAACTTACAGATGATTTCTTAATGCTTACAGATAAATTTTCTAGCTTGGCATTAGAAGCTTATGGCATGGGAGCAAAATTGTTATGAGTTTAAGTGTCAGAGACTCTATCAAGTGTCAGAACAGCTTGCTAAGAGGGAAAACTAAGGGAAAAAGATGAGCTGAACATGAAATTGCTGGGTTTTAGGAGTAAGAGAGGAAGCTTGCTCTCTGATGTGGTTGATGCTTGTTGGGTAGAGGAGGCCCCCTTTTATAGTCGCTGGAAGCCATCATTTTTCAAGAAACCCTAATGGTTTCTATCCAATTTGGCCAAGTCTTTCCCTTCCTTTCTCCCCTCATCTCTTCAATCATCCTATTTTGGTGGAATCCACTCTAGCCATTTGCACAAAATCAGAGATTTTTGGGAGCTCAAGGCCCCCTTTCCCGTGGCTGTTTCAGGCTCCTATTTTCAGCCATCTCCTTACTTTCCTTTCTTCCTTTTTTTATGGCCAGGTTTGATGGGGGAAAGAGAATGGGTATACATGCTGGTTCGGAGGGCAGCTCCTTGCGTGCCAATTTCTCTTGGTCTCTTGGATGTTTTGCTTGAAAACTTGTTCCTTCCTTCCCAGCAACCCACGTGGTCTTCCAAACTCCTTCGTGGCTTTATATTTCAGCCAAAAGATGGAGTCTTTGCTGCTTGCTACTTCTAATTGTATGGGTCTTCTAGGATAGGAAGTCAACCTACCAAACAAATGGGCCACCTTCATCAAATATTGGGTTATAGGGGTTCATTTTAGTGGACCATTTTGATTGGTTTTTTTTTGGTTTGGTTATTTTCCTTTTTGTGCTCACCCATATATTTGGGCCTAAGAAATGAGCTTGGGTTTCGAGGCTCCCAAGCAACCTGGAACCTCCATTTCTCGACCTATCAATGGGCCTCATAACAACTTATTACCATCCATACCACAACCCACTCAAGCAAGCCCCGAGCATCTTGCGTGGCTTGAGCCCACTTAAGCTTGTAGCGTGACAGGTTGCTTATTTGCTTGGCGTGGCATGTGTGCAAAGCGTATATGACGAACTTTCGCGCGCCCAAATCGGGTTTCTTCTTGATAAGGTATCGCATTGGGCCGAGAATTTATTTGGGCTGGACCATGGATTTTTTGGGCCTCAATACATGCACTATACATTAAGATTTTTATTATTTTATTGAAGAAATAACTTTATAAAAAGTTATTAGTCCTTGAATTCTAGATAGGGTCCTCGTTTATCGAATAGGGTGAGGATGGTAAGAGAATTGCTATTCGTAGTCACTCAAAGTGTAATACGGGAGCAAACAATCATAAGCCAGTAGTAAAATACTATGCGGACAAAAAGGCGACTACATGAACCAAACTGCCCTTGGTTAAAGATGGGAGAAGATGTGATACATCTTATTGCGCATTGATTGTGAACACTACATGACTAGTATTGGTCGCTTCCTCTACTAGGGTATTAAGAAGTGTGGTCAACAGGGTTTACCCCAGTGAAAAAGGGCCTTGACTTGTAGACTAACGGTCTCAAGTTCGAATCCCCACGGCACCTTAATAGCGAGAGAGAGAGAGAGAGAGAGAGAAACCCTACATCCCATTGTAGTTTAGACTATCGCTTGTACTACAAAAAAACAAAAACAAGAAAAGCATGGGCTTCGCTTGAGGTGAAGGTCTCTTGTCAAACAAAACTCACGAGGAAGCCAATCCACCATGAGCCGAAAATGCCTATATGACCTTAGGTTAGGCTAGCGAAGGCGTGAAGCTCTAAGCCCAGCATGACTTTCCTTAGGCTACATACCTCTAAAAGATTAGCCCAAATTTTTGGGATTTCCCTAATAACTACAACACAATAATTAAGGAGATCACACGTGCCTACTTTGGGTATGTATCTCACACATCCCTAGTCAAATGACTAATTGACTTGATGTGCACATTAACGGGTCATCACATCCCCAATCATCTTTTAATTCGTAACTCCGCACGATGATAAACCAGCCTTCAAAAAGCTGAATATAAACCAGCCCCTCTTCTTGGAGAAGATAATTGTTCCTTGAGCTAAGAAACTCTACTTTTGTCCTTATAAAGTCAAACTCGCTTAGGCCTATGCTCTTTGGCTCCCACCACACCGGTATCCTAAAACCTAACAGTCATCTTCGTTCTTAGTTTTAGGGACCAAAGATCTTTTCAAAAGACGCATGAATTGATTCCTCACAAGTGACTATATCAACAAAGTCAATTAACACATAGGGTTCAACATTTCAAGAAAAGCTCAAAGTTTTTGCTATAGCTTTCAAATTCAAGGAATGCCTACTTTCTCTTCTTGTCTTCCCTATCTGACCTTGTCTATTTAGTTTGTGTCACATGTACTCCACCTACACATAAATTTATATATTTAGTGCTAGTTTGGGAGTGATTATAGAGAGACCAATAATCACTTTTATGGAGAATCACTTCTTAAAATAATTACTTTAAATGGTTTTAAGTGATTTTATGAAAAAGCACATGAAAGGTGTTTCTCCCCAAAATCACTTAAAATCACTAAAAGTGAACTTTTTGGAGAAGCACATAGGATGTGCTTCTTCTCAAAAGTGATTCTGGCCTATCACTCCCAAACGAGCCCTTAATGTGTTAAAAGAAAGGGAGACTTTGAAAAAACACAAAGGAGAGAGAAAATTTGTAAAAGAAGCCAAAATGGACAAAATTGCCCTTATTTATTTTTGGATTTCCTAAGAAATCATTTACATTTGCATGTCTTTGAATTGAAAGTTGAGAGGTTTTTCTGTCTTTTTTGAAAAAGCTTTGGCTTTTTCCAAAAGTGAAATTTTTTTTTTGGCTAAAACCTAAATTTACTTAAAAGAAATCTTTATTATCTTTTTTTTAAAAAAAAATCAAACAGTGATATTCAATAAAAACTCTTTATTATTTCAAAGTACAAAATATTAGTACTTCTTTTAATAAGAAAATATTAGTACTTGACATTAAAAAAAAAAAGTCACAAATAAACAACTTATCACATACAATAAGCTAAAAAAATAATTAAACATAATTGAAGTACCTTGACTAACTGAGTATAAAATGACTTTGATAGTGTGTGTGAGAAATTCACTAGTATTTTTTTTTTTTTTAAAAAAAGGCAAAGAGTCACTTTTGGTCCCTGCAGTTTATCACTTTTACCTCTAAAGTCCCTGTAGTTTCAATTTGATCAATTTTGTCTCTGTAGTTTGAATTCTAAGCCATTCAAGGATAATCCTCAATTTCTGTGAATTTGAGAGGGGTATTTTGGTCCAATCTTGCAACCTCTCCCCAACCACCTGATCTCATCCCTCCTCCCCCCCCGATCCAACATTATGCTCCCTTCCCTCCACATCCACCTTTTCACTCACTTTTATCAAACTCCAAACCTAATCCCATGCATTGCCCAAAACCTCTCCTCATGAACCCAAATTTCCGAAAACAAAAGCAAGAGTTTAAGACAAAAAGTCACACAATTATTTATTCAAGATTGGAGGTAATGGACTTTGAGACTTGAAAGCATAAGAAAAGCAACATAAGGGCTGATAGGGTGGCTGTGACAATGGCTGGGGAGGGCTGCAAGGTTGGCCCGAAATGCCTCTCTTAATTTGGCATAAATTGAGAACTGCCCTTAAATTGCTTGAAATTTAGACTCCAGGAAGTTTAATGGTAAAAGAGATAAACTATATGGACCAAAAATGACTTTTAGTCTAAAAAAATAATAATAATAGAAATTTAAAATGACACCCAAACTCGGGAGAGTTTTAATAAAAAATAGCAAAAACTAACCCATCACTTTCATAAATGTCAATTTTTTTTTAAAACTTTTAAAAATAGCCAAAAATTCACTTAAATAGACTCAAATGCCCTATAGGTTGAGGGATTTACTGTAGTTTACCCTAAAGAAAAAACAAAAGTGGTCTACTTTCAATTTGCTATGGTTGTTGGGTGCTATCTTCTTCAGTTGACACTTGAAAGCGCATGTGGAGAACATGGCTCTTTGGCATCATCGAATCATATGCTCAGAAATGAAATGAAATTTTCTTGAATTACTGGATGTATAATTTTTATTTCATGTAAAAAAAAAAAAAAAGTACGAATCAACATAGCTTATTTGCTCCCATTTCTACAAGAAAATAATTGCTCAAATAAATAAATTATAAATATTGCCATTGCAGTTGGTTTACCATACAAAGAGGAAACACTTATTTCCGAGGATATTTAAGTTTATTTAGGTGGATTTTTGACCATTTTTAAACGTTTTTATAAAAATAGACATTTATGATGGTGGGGTAAATTGTGGCTATTTTTATGAAAACTCAATTCGGGAGAGGAAACCTTTTGGAAACCAGGCTTAAACCCTAAGCCTCCCTGAGTTCAGGGCTTGTTGCAGCAGAGTGAGAAATGGGGTTAGGGTTAAAGAAATTGGTGAAGAAGGGGATGATGGGGTTGGGAGAAATGGGGTTCAACGCCGGAGGTGGAGCCATAAATTGGTTCCCTGGCCACATGGCTGCAGCCACGCGCGCAATCCGCGACCGGCTCAAGCTCGCCGACTTCGTCATTGAGGTCCGTGACGCTCGCATTCCATTGTCCTCCGCCAACCAAGACCTTCAGCCCCAGCTCCGCTCCAAACGTTCCCTAATTGCCCTCAACAAGAAGGACCTCGCCAACCCCAATATCATGCAAGTAATGTTGATATAATTTATTGTTTTTTGTAGTTGTATTTATCATTTTCTTTGTTGAAGTTGAAGTTTTTATTGGTTTAATTGTTGTAGAAATGGACCCGGTACTTCGAATCGTCCAATCAAGATTGCCTTCCCATGAATGCACACAGCAAGAGCTCTGTTTCAAAGGTATTTGTTTTTGCCTTCCAATTTGATATTTCTTATTTTGGGTTCAAAACCCTGAAATGTGCACTGGTTTATCAAAGCTTCTTGAGCTGGTGGAGTATAAACTGAAGGAAGCCATTTCGAGGGAACCTACTCTGCTTGTTATGGTGGTTGGCGTTCCTAATGTTGGGAAATCAGCTCTAATCAATAATATTCATCGGATTGCGTCTTCTCGCTTTCCCGGTAAGTTCTTCATGTTGGAGGAGGTTGTTGTGAATCCTATATTGGTGGAAATGTGTTTCAATTATTAATATCCATGGAGTTCAGGCAATACACATTGAGGAATGACAGTGTTTGAGTTTCTTTCATAGTGCAGGGTAAGATGAAGCGAGCTACAGTGGGCCCATTACCTGGTGTTACTCAAGACATTGCTGGATTCAAGGTTAAGTCATTTTTCTTATTGATTTTTTTTTTTCCTATTCATTATATGCTGAACTGAAAATACAGACTAGCGGGTGAATAAGATACTTAAAAAAAAAAAGGCTTTTTGACCCTTCTCATCTTGAAAACGAAAAATTAATCTATCTAGTTCTTAGTGTTTGTTTCTTTTGTCTTCTAATACTTCTTTTATAGTTCTCTATTCCTCTGTTTCCTTCATCTCGCCGATTTGATGGTGGAAAATCGTCTTCCTTTTTCCCTAACTTTTTTGAATTGTTTATGTGCAGATTGCTCATCAGCCTAGCATATATGTTCTTGACACTCCAGGTGTGTTGGTTCCAAGTATCCCGGACATAGAGACAGGATTAAAGCTAGCTCTTGCAGGTTTGTCCTTTCTCAGATAAATTCTCTGGAATTTCTTATTACTGTGGCATTTGAAAGGTGTTTTAAATTTTTTAGGCTTACATTTGTTGGGATGGCATGACTTAGAAAGTTTCTCTAGGAATTGTAGTCCTTTATATGTATGCAACTTTAATACATGCTGTTTCAACTTTGTTGGCTTGGTAATCACCTTAATATCTCTCTTTTGAAAATTGTCTGTTTCAACTTTGTTGGCAATTTCCTTTATTCTCTGTTCAGATTCCTTATAGGCTTGGTTGTACACTTGTCATTGTATTAATCGAATTCGTACTTTAATAGCTTAATGGCTTTTAGCTGTTGGCTTCAATGGAGAACGGTCCAGTATTTAGGAAATTTAAGGATAGGGTCAGACCGCCTCTCTGTGTAGTTTAAGATCCATGTTTAATGAATTCTGATTAGCTTACTATCAAATTTTGGCATTCCAACTTCCATTTGAAAAAAGAAAATTTGTCACATACATCTTAAATAGGGATGAATCATTAAACTTAGGGGGAAATGCTTGTTACTTTTGTCAGTGTACTGCATCTCACTGAACCTCATCGTGCAGGATCTATTAAGGATTCGGTTGTAGGGGAGGATCGAATTGCTCAATACTTGCTTGCAGTTTTAAATACACGAGGGACACCTTTTCACTGGAAGAACTCAAATAATAGGAGAATGGAAGGGATTCAATATGAAGCAGAGGAAAAAGTTGACTACAGTCTTAAAAATCTTCGACCTAGTAGGAGGAAGCTGCCAACTAAGTCTCATGTGCTGTACGTTGAGGTAATGGAAATTACCATATGCGTGTTTGTATTTTTCTTTATGCACCACAATGCTTGATTATACTCCAACTTTTACTGCTGATTATTTCAAACCTCTGATGCTTACTCACTTTCAACGGTAACAGGAGAAGTTAGTATGATTTCTGAAAATAATAATGAGTTTTTGTTTTTTTCTTTTTCCTTTTAATAATTTCACTACGACTATGCTTTGACTTGGAGAAAGCGTATTTTAGATTACAGCAAATAATGAGTAACCCATCAATGATCTTCCAAAGGGAAAGTGAAGATTAGATTTTATGTACTAAAGATATTTGACAGTCATTGAGAAATAAATTGTTGGTTGAAGTAAACGGTTTGCTAACAACGATATGATAAGATCCAATTTCACTACTTATCTTTGTGATAATTAGCAAAGAGATTTCTTTTAAATTTGTAATTTTAGGTTCTGTATCTGGAGCATGTATTTAAGTCTTGAGAATATGTTTTAATTTATTTGTTCACTAACCACTGCTACTCTCACACTAGCCATTTTAATTTTCCCTCCACACGTGTAATCTGTGACTTTGCAATTAACTTTTAGTTCTTTGACACTTTTAAGTGCAGCTTAGATAAGTATCCTTGGTGACTTGGTCATTATTTGCTATGTTTGTATGCTTTTTAAAATACTAGTATTGTTCACGTTGCTTTTCAGGATCTTGTAACTGAAGTGCAGCGTGCTCTGTATTCGACTCTGTCAGAATTCAATGGCAACATGGAAGACGAGAGTGACTTGGAGGTACTTATAGAACAGCAGTTTGAAGCACTGCAGAAGGCACTAAAGATACCCAATAAGGGGTCTGAAGCTCGCTTGATGGTATCAAAGAAATTCCTTACCTTATTTAGGACGGGTAAGTTAGGCCCTTTTATCCTTGATGATGTCCCAGAAGCTAATCCGCTTTCATAAAACATCTTACTTTTCCATGAAGACCCGCTTTAATTTTAACTTTTGTTTCTTTAACGTTTCGATCGATAGACTTGTATATGTGCGGTCCCCTTGTATCATATTGACTCACCTGTATCAGTGATCTCAATTTTATTTCTGTTGTATTGAGAAAACTTGGTTCATATTTGATAAGAGTTATCAAAGTATCCAAATTTGGTTTGGATGGTTCATATTTGTGTCCATTCTTGTGTTTGTATCAAGGTCTAAAATATCGATGATATTGGAAATATCGGTAGTCCAAAAACACAGAAATTTCGACGGAAATATCGGGATATTATTGATATCGATAAAAATTGAATAAAAACCACGGAAGCTGTAAGAAAAACTTGGAAATTTTTATTGAAACTTTGGAGGATGTTTATTTAGTCAATTATCTATTAGTTTATCACAAAAAATTGGAAGGAAATGCATTGCATGATGGATTTAACTTATTTAAGTTGATTATATAGCGCGCTGGCAAACACTATGAGTGTAGAAAATATGTAGTAATTAATGAAAAAAGATTAAACACACCATAATAATTTATATATAAGATTTACTATAATATTTTACACTGTATACATTGCATGATAAGATATATGAGTGACTTAGTACCACATAGAGTTCTTATGAGGTTCAGATTTTTCACTATCTTCATCATCTCTGTGTAGAGTAAGTGTATTGTGAAGAGTGGTCATCAAATGATGAATCTCCAAAATTGTTTTGAATGTAATTATTAACATGCCACCCAAAGGAAATGTCAAAGATTCATTCTCATGTGAAAAATTTGATTCTTGCAAAAAGAATTCAAAACAAAACAATATGAATATAAATATTTTAGTATATTATCACAAAAACATAAGTGATATAGTGGTTAAGGTGTTGGAGGAGTAAAATGGGAGTGGTTCAAATCCCCTTTGTGTTTTTTTCTCCCTTTTTTTTCCTTTTTTTTTTCCTTTTTTTTTTTCGAAATGATCGACATCGATATTTTCCGATATTATCGTCGATATTGTCGATATTTATAGGATATGTATATGAATATGTTCTGAAATATCCGTGATTCAAAAAAACCGAAATATCCTTGATATTTCATACTATGGTTTGTATGCAATCTGAAGTTTGAAAAATGTAGCTACAATGAATCGATACGCAATCGAAGCTAAATCAAATAGCACTTATGAATGCTAACTCTATTATTTATTTATTTATTGAATTGGTAAGATGGATCCCATTAACCCCATATCAAATCTTTTGGTTAGGTTATTGATATAGTACTAAACTTCAAGGAAACAACTTTGTACTGTTGGGACGTGGCATGTGAAGATCTTGCTGGTTTCATTCTCAATCCATGGATATTTTCGACCAAAAAAGAAAATCCATAAGGATATTTAGGTAGGAAAGTAGAGACTGGACTTGAAAATGAAAATTGTCATAACTTCTTGTTGGTTTGGGCTTGGGCTTGGGCTTGGACAATGAAGATATTCGTAGAGGAATAAGAGCAAGACAAGGGTAGGCGGTAGAGAAAATCTTGAAATAAAAATATTATACTAATTTTAGGAAATTATTATTTGCGGTCTAAAAAAGTTGGGTGCATTTTTGCTTACAACCCTAGGTGTACCATCACCACCTCTCTCAAAAGTTGACATGTCTATGGGTTTAACTATACTTAATTCTTTAATTTTTATTTATTTGATGACATTATTATGAGAGAGAAACAATACTTTAATAAGATTTTTCATGATTTACCCTTATTCTAACCTAGCAAACTTTCCACTTTTCTAAATTAATTAGCCATTGGCTTTATGTCCCGTGCTTTAATACGAATTCAACATGATCACAGAGAGGTAAAAGTTGTTAACATCTATTGGGGTATTTTTCCGTCGGAAGGCTCATCTGGGCTTATTGATTCTTGGACCACCATAAAGTGATGAATCAAGCCTTCGTTGCCTTTTTTTTTGAGTTAGCGAGAACTGGGCCCAAAGTATCTCAAGAGAGAAGCACGTCCTAGGGGAGTACTTTGTTCTTCTTCCAGCGGCTGTGTGTTTTGTGCTGATGTTTCTGGCAAGTTGACGAAGAGTTGTAGATGGTGCAATAATGTTGCATAGGCTTGGCATGAGAGTTTGCTTTGGTGAATCAAGATACTACTGAAATGGGTACTTAGGTGACGATGGGTAAATTTTACGACACTTAAACAAAACGTAACAATCTTCACACACTTTAGACCTTGACCAAAAACACTTATGACTAGTCAACTGCTATTCATGAACGGCCACAATCAAGAATACACACAGAGCATGCCACAATGTACTTGCAACCCTAGAAGATTACTAGTGACAATCTAGGCACTCAGAAGGATCCATCAATCTAGGCATTCCCTGTGCTAGCAACAACTACGGTGAAACTGTGTGAAATCATCATAATCAAGTAAACACCAAAAGCAGATAATGATGATTAGTCAACTACAAGGACACAAACCCAGAATTCATACGATGACTAGTCAACCACCAAGAACACAAACCCAGAAAAATTACAGAGATGCAATCAGAAATTGTTCACCCAGAAACCCACCATTGGGAAAAACTGGGGGTCATCAACCGACCAGGCAATTCACTAAGTAGAAAAAGATTCTTACAAAGGAACACAAGCAAGCTCAAGAAAAAGATGGATCTATTTAGGAAGATGAGCTATACCTCCTTTGTGCAATCTTCTTCTCCAACTTAGCAAAGCTTGAAGCTTAGTTCTTCATGGTAATGGCAGCTTCTTCTCCAGCTCAGTCATCCCATGGCACCAGCTTGCAAGCTCTAACTCAGACAGAAACTAAAATTTGGATTCAAAGGAATGACCAATTTCTTCAAGAAACCATACTCTTGAAGAAATCAATCTTGAATCTGACCTAGATATATATGAGAGAGTGTTTGATCTAGCAAGATGAGGTTTTCATATTTCAAATGCAGTTTTCAAAAAGAAACATTTTGGAAAACTCAAAGATGAAAAATATGAAGGTTACACTTGAGGAAGAAGAGAAAGTTTACAGAGAAACTTTCCAAACTTGCCTACAAAAGTGATGGCTGCCAAATCAAGAATCCTTTGGCCTTTACACCAAAAAATTCTCTAGGTCTGAATCAACACATGGCAGCAGAGAGAGAAAGGAGAATAAGACAAAATAGTTGGTTATCGAGCTGGAAATCCTACAGAGCAAGGATGACTAGTCATACGAGAAATAGATGACTAGTCATCATTTTATGAAATCAATTTAATGCAATGTGATGCAATGCACAATTTACTTTTGTCAATTTGCTTGAACCTCCATTGGATAGTTGTTAGTTAAGAACACGTAGAGAATCTATTCTTAATATAAACTCGAGCTTGATAAAACAATACAAATCCTATTACAAAATTGTCAAGTGAAGCCAAAAGAAAAACTGAAAATGCATACATTAACAATTTGCCCATTTTTGGCTTTCCTTGATAACACACTCTCTAAATACACTCAACCCAAAACCAAACCTAGGGAGATGATGAAATGAAGTACCTGCAAAATGACAACCAAACTCCCAGGCACAAGACAAGCATATTATATCACAGAAATTTGAAGCAATATGCAATATATGCAATATGGGGTTGAGAGTGTTCTCCCCCTTGTTGATAAGGAAAGAGCAAAAAGGAAAATATAGAGAAACAGTAATCAAGTGAATTAAACACAAGTCACATAATCAAATTTGAACAATATGCACATGACACAGTTTGATTACAAAGCAAAACAACGTTTGTTCAAAACAATACAAGACAACTCCCCGTATCAAGTTGCACAGACTACCCAAGCAAAAAGATCCCCACAATGTGATTACAAAAATATATCACCCAACCTGTCCAAAAATACTTCCCCTGAGTATCATATAACATAAAGGAATTAACATTTGATGTACTAATCCAGCAAACTTTCCATAAATAGCCAACAAACACAAAAGTGCATCAGGCTAAAGAGAATAAGAAATGTAGCAAAAGTTGCAAGGAATCATACCTAAAGCAATTAAAATCAAGTGGCTGAATTTAATTTCAATGTGTACACATTACACATAAAGAAACTCCCTTAAAAAGATAGAGTTTAAGCAACATATTTATCAAAACAAAAGACAACCAATGAATTTTTCTTTACGCACCATAGTGAAAAATCAAGGCAGAGCACCAAGATATCAAAATTTAAGGCATCAATCATTGTCAAATTTGAAGAAGTCACCAAGCAAGATGAACCCTAAATTTTTTCTCAAAATTGAGGACATGTGAGAAAGAACACAAGAAATAAGTATCTAGGTTGTCCAAAAAACACAACATAGCTTTTCCAAAAAGCACAAGAAGAAGAGAGTGGACTAGTGAAATGGACTAGTCACGCAAGTCTAAATTTGAGATGACATCAAAAGACCAACAACCTCATAGACACAACCAAGAACAAAAGAGAGAAAATCAACCGAGAGAAGGCTTAGGAAGGCAACATTGACGTATGAAAATGATAAAAACAAGCAGCAAGAATGTTGCCAAAACACATGCATCTCAAAGAAACTCCCTCAACAAAATAAATTAGCCAACAATCCAAAACTCATATAGCACAGCAAACTCGTAAGGATTTCAAGAATTATTTTAGGCTAAATCATTGAATGTGGGAACACAACTTATTAAGATGACTGGTCATAGACCAAAGTAGCGTCATCCAAGCACGACCACATATAAACACAATACCAGTGTTGAAACAGAAGGTGTAAATGAGACAAGAAGAAGACAAGTGAGCCTTTGTGCTTTGTTTCATAACCAATGGTCTTTCTTAGAGAGTGAAAATTAATTTTACCAAAAAGGCACAAGATCCCTATTAAGCATATACAACATGACTTGACGGCTAGAGACATAGCTAAGGAATAAGAGAGAAGAGACGCGGTCAGAAACGAAAATAGAACATGATGACTAGTCAACCACAATCAGCGTATGCAAATAGTGACTAGTCAAGCAGAGCAGTGATCACAATAAGCAACATGTTTAGTATCGACCTTATAGAAGATGAAGGACTTTGCTAATACACAGATAAGAACTAGCAAACATATCAAGTGATCAAGGATGTTCAACATTCATTGTCTAGGCCAAGTCTTCAATCACATGAATTAAAAAGGAAAGAATTAAAAGCCTATGCAAGTAACATTTAC